AATAGATACCACAAAGGAAGTGTGTATGTACTCTATGTGAAATAATCCAACAGATTTAAAAAAATGCTCAAATACAAAACTAACAAGTAATTTAAAGTTGTTCAAATAGTCATAAGACATTTTAAATAAAGGGAGGGTGCTAAGTAAAGCATTTTTGCTAGGTATGTCTCAGGACTACAAAATCAAAACTAATCTGGACTACATATTAAAACTATATCAAAATGAAAAATTTAAGTACTTCTTACCATCCCACAAAGTGAGCTTGGTTCTTAGTTCAATTCTCTTGAAGCATACCATTACTTTAGCTATAATAAACAAATTTCAATTATAATTCCTAAGTCCCTCTACAGACCAATTCTACTTTCTTTGATCTTATCCACAAGTGTTCCCTGCCAGTTCAACTAGTTTGACCTTTAAAGTTTGGCAAAACAACAAGTTGCTCTGCTTGATTTTTTTTTTTTCCTGGTTTTTCAGAGACAGGGTTTCTCTGTGTAGCTTGAGACCAGGCTGGTCTTGAACTCACAGAGATCCACAGAGATCCACCTGCCTCTGCCTCCCCAGTGCTGGGATTAAAGGCATGTGCCACCAGCGCCTGGCAGTGCTTGATTTTTTTTTAAGCTCCTTATAATACTTCAATAATATAAACTTCTGAGTACTATCACTTCTTCTTCTGTCAGCCATTTGGTTAAGCAAGCAAAATACTACTCTGTTGATAGCTAGGCTCCAAATATGGTATGCTGTGATTAGTCTGATATGAAAAATACTAAAAAATTCTACATGTTGTTTGTAAATATAATTATTATGTCTAAGAGACAAGACTTATCTGACTACAAGCTGCAGACAGAGGAGACAGAGGGAGAGAACAAGATAATAACTGGAATGTAGAAGATAAATATTACTATTCAAACTATACAGTGGCTCAATTTCTGTCTAAAGCATTCCAAACCATTAGAAAGTATTTTCTACTGTTACCACTGAAAAACTGACCTTTGACATCTCAGTAAGTCACAGTAACAGATATACTAGAAGTATCAATGAGTCTTATTAGCTAGTTAGTTATAACAGGATCTCATATAGACCAGGCTGATCTCAAACTTCTGATCCTCCTACCTCCATCTCTCAAGTACTGGGATTACAGGTAGGCACTAACAAACCCAGTCTTAATGTATGATCTAAATCATACTATATGTCACATCAATGAGATTAGAATCAAACTACAAAAAAAAAAAAAAAAACTTGACTAGTGTAGGGAACGCTTACAAGAATATTTAAATGATTTCAAGCTATTCATCCACAATTTTGCCTTTCACATGGCTACAATTATAATCAAACAAGCAACTTTGAACTCAAAGAATTTTTGAATCCAACTCTATTAAAGATTAAGACAACTAAAAAAGAACTCTGCAAGCCAATTCCTTACAAACACAATTTTGTACTTTCAAAATGCTAAGACTGTAATTTGAAAAAATAGACACCTGCAGTGGAGATGGCTTATAGCCCTAACAACTTTAGGATGGAGCAAGGATCACAAGTTCAAAGTCCACCTGAGCAACTAAATCCCTATCTCAAAATGAAAACTACAGCAAAGAGTCAAGGATCCAGCCAGCAATGTGGTGGAACACCTGCCTAGTCTTTACAAAGGGGAAGGGAGGCCTAAATACCTTCAGTTGTCACAGAACACGGATTGGTAAAATTAAAACAGAAAACACCTTAAATAGCCACTATTTAGGGGAGAATCTTTTTTATCTTTTATAAGTCAGATGAGTCTCAAATTCACTTTTTACCATATATCCTGGAGAATAACATAGCCCAAGATACCAGTACATCCCACTTATCTACTCCAAGTAACATAACGTGAGAAACTGCACTGTGTAATTCCTTTATTTTCTGCATGTTAGTGCTTCAGCAACACTACAACCATAAAGAACAATTCCAAGGACTGTACTTTTTAGCTGGGGGAAGGGGGAATCACAGTCTACAGACTCATTTACTTATATTAGACAAGATTAACCTCATTCAGAACTTAGCAAGTTTATAAATTCACACAAATACAGAAATTGATGCAATTAAACAAAATCTTTAGGACCTTATTTTTGTAATTCTTCCATTATAACTTTTTCTGCAGGCTCTAATTTCCTGCTTCATAATCACCAATGGTTATGGTTCAATTTAACTACATCAATTATAAACCTTTTATATATACTCTTAAAGAAATGTAAGTGAAAATTACAGTTTCTTTCCAAAAGGTTTAGGTTTTCTTCAAATTTCAAATGTTTCCCCCCTCCCACCCTTTTCAGACATTTCAAATAAACTAAAAATAACCCATCTCACCTGCAACATTCAGTAATAGCAATCACTTGTATAAAATTTTAACTATGCCCCCAGTTATTTTAAGACACACAAAAAAATGGCTGTCTACCAATCTGTCTGTCACAAGTTAGAATACTACATTTAAGAATCAACATGAGGGTTTCAAGTTTCCTCCAGTTTAGGCATTTATACCTTTGTGCTTATTTTGTTTCAGGATGTTACTGTAGCATTGATATTTGTATAACCATATTTATGTACCTTAAAATGTAATCATTTAAAACACTAAGAATTACATTTACGGTGGAGCTTTGGGAATTTTTAAAAGCAACTATAATGTTCTTAAATATGTGAATCAGCTTCATTTCTAGAGATATTTTTATTAATGTGAAACTGAGAACTTTAGGTTTTAGTTGCGTCTTGATTTCAAAATCCCTCTGCACCAATAGGAGCCTACAACATAGCACCTTTTCTCATCTGCTTTTAGTTAGTTTTACTTACAGCTCATTTTTGTATAGCCTTCTGTTTCTCATACATCTTTGGTAAAAGCTCCATTATACAATATGGCCAAAACATGAAGGACCAATACTGTCCAACGATACCATGATATCCGGCTTGACTTTAGTTTTCAGACACCCTCATAAACAGAACCATTCCACCTTTTCCTGTATCCTGCCCTGGCAGTCTACATTTCCGAAACTCCCTAAGTTTCATTCCTTGAGGATCACTACATTAATCCTTAAGGCTACACAAGAACCAGATGCTGCTTCACAATTCTGAATCAACATTAACATTTGGTTCAAAATTATCACCATAGTGGTCTCAATCTAGTAACTGGTCCTAACCAGCTCATCTTGTTAAGATCTGGATATCACCAGAGAGCACAATGCTTACCCTTAAAGAAAAATAAATTTACATTCATTGTCATCTGTAGGTTCTTTCTCGTCATCCTACTCCCTGTGTCACCCCTCCAGTCTCCATCACTCATTCAGCACATTTCTTCCTTAAAGGAGACGATCTACGACTGAACCAACAGGATATCTATTTGCATGAGTTAATACTACAATCAAGCAAAACTAAATACCTTTTTTTTAAATAAAACATCTTTTCCAGTGTTTTAATTAATGGAGATGTAGATCACTCATCTATTTAAAAAAAAGTCATATATCTTCAGTTTAATCAGTTGCTGTAATGTGAAAACAGGAATGTGTATTTTTTTTCCAGCTAGGAAAAGGTGCATATAATTTGACTTTTTAAATGTTTTATTAGTGAACAAAGTAAATGTTTAGTAATTTTAAAGCTACTTGTCTTAAGAGATTTGAAACAAGGTAACATATGCCGATTTTGCCCGAAAGTCACTTAAAATATCTACAAATATTTCATCTGTGTGGCGTACACCATTATTGCTCCATTTTCTGGAAAGAGTCTATTTTTAAAGGAAGAAGAGAGGGAAATAGCAAAGTTACCAACTTTGCAGTTTAAAAGATCTGCCCCCTTGTAGAGGTGAGTTGTTTTATGCAGCCTACGTTAGCTATGGTGAGGGAACTTGAGTTTACTCCTACTCATGCACTTTAATAGCTGACACCTGAAGGGATTCCCTACATTACCTGTTTCACACACTGATGTGCAACTGGAACATTACACTGGTATTACTCATTATTTTGCCACTGTGGGCTAAGTTCACCATACTGGTCTTGGATATAAAAGGTCACATTTGAAATTGCTAAAGTTAGCACTAACAAGGAAAGGGGGAAGGCCTTAAATATAAAAGACAAACGGCAGTTTGATTAAGCAATAATTTTCAGTTTACTAGATGAAACAGACTCGCAACATAGTCTGCATGAATGCAAAATAAGCCATCTACAGCAAGTGGTAAGAAACTGGGCAAAAAGGAAAAAAGCATACATTGGGGGGAAAAAAAGATTCTCTCGACATAAAAAAATCAAACCATTATTATAAAGGATTTTACCAAGAGCTGCTATTACCCCACCCCGTTTGCTGGAAGTCACAAGAGCATCTAGCACTGTTTTCGTGTCAAATATCAGATCAGAGCATCCTAACGCAAAGCCAAAAAAAAGAAAGAAAAAAATAAAGAAAAAAGAAAAAGAGGAAACCCCAACCCCACTAAACCGTAGAACAGTAACTCCAGAGTTCAGATTCAAAAAAGAAAGTGGCAATTGAAAGAGGTTGATGATGGTGGCGATAATCCTATGAATGGGTTTTTGATTTCTCTCCTTCCGGGGGATGGGTGGAGGATGCTCATTAGGATTTGTAGTTAGAGGTTAACCATGTGAGCCCCTCATAGAGTCCGTCCCCGGAGGTGGCACAGGAGGGCTGCACATACCAGTTCCTGTCCCGAATCCGGGTCAGGCCCAGTTTCTCCTGGATCTCATGGGGTTTCATGGCATCGGGCAGGTCCTGCTTGTTGGCGAAGATGAGGATTATGGCGTCCCTCATCTCCCGGTCATTGATAATGCGGTGCAGCTCCTGGCGGGCCTCGTCGATGCGGTCGCGGTCGGCGCAGTCCACCACGAAGATCAGACCCTGGGTCCCGGTGTAGTAATGCCGCCAGAGCGGCCGGATCTTGTCCTGGCCGCCCACATCCCACACGTTGAACTTGACGTTTTTGTAAGTCACCGTCTCCACGTTGAAACCCACCGTGGGAATGGTGGTCACCGACTGGCCCAGCTTCAACTTGTACAGGATCGTTGTCTTGCCGGCTGCGTCCAGACCCAGCATGAGGATCCGCATTTCCTTGTTCCCGAAGATCTTGGATAGCACCTTCCCCATCGC